TCTCGCCCCAGTGCCAGTCGGACGGCCAGCGCTTCTAACTACTCGCTGAGACATAACCGCTGGACACGGCGAAGTATGTCCACCTCTGAGGTCAAGATATTTGTTCTCGAACCCGTTCTTCCTCCTCCTGTTAAGAGCCCAGCCATTATCAGAGTCGTCCAGACCCAGAGCCCTTGAGTCATCTTTACCCTCTCTCTTGTCAACACGCAAACAGGTTTCAAAAGTCCTGTCTTTTACGCCTTCTATAAACGTCGCTCCTATCAGCCCTCGCCAGCCCCGATGCCGAAGGGCTCATCGCCGGCTGCGCCAGCCCCTCCTCCCAGAGCAACCACTACAGTGTACACATGCCCACATGGCAGCGATTTCGAGTCATGTCACCACCTTGTCACTATCCATGACCCACAGAGTAGGATCCAAGTGCTTAACCAACCCCTTCACACTCTGCCCCTTAACACACTTCTCCAACTAGCCCTTCTGCCATGAAGAGTGACGTCTTCCCAGCGCCATCTCCCCGTGCCCAAGAGAGCTCTATTTTCCAAATCACGGCCAAGGCCTTCCGTGAGCACCCAAACGTACTTCCTGCCGCTCCACACCTCCTCCTTCAGTACACTTTTTATACAAGTTGTTCACCTCCCTCCCAGACCGCAGGGTTCCCTGTGGAGAAGCTCCAGGTCTGGTTTTTCTTGTTTAAAGCCACTCTTTCTCCCTCTCCCACCCTCCCCCTCCAGGCTCCCTCCCATCCTCCGCCCCACACCCCACAGGGCCTTACCGGGTAAGAGTTCAATAAATGCCCCAGGCCCTCAGCCTACTCCAGTTCAGCAAGAGACCCTGCGCCTCGGAACTCCTCGTTCTGCTGGGCATGATGTCGGTCACGACCACGTCCCAACCGCAGCAGCAGCAGCAGCAGCAGCAGCAGCCGCCTCTCCAGGGGCTGCACGCTCGCCCCGTCTCTCTTCCGGCACATCCACAGTCACGGCAGCGAACAGATCGTCTTTCCTTCCTTCCTTCCTTTCTTTTTAAAGACTTTATTTCTAAGTAATCTCTACACCCAATGCAGGGCTGAACTTAGAACCCCAAGACCAAGAGCTGCACACACTCCACCGACTGAGCTGGCCAGGAGCCCCAAACTTTCTTTCTTTGTGGGGAAAAAAACCCAAAACATCCTCAAGGAGGAAGTGAACAGGCGGCACTGGTGACCGAAGTGAACAAAAGGAAAGGCAGAGAACAGGAAGGAATGGTACAGCAAGGGACAGGGGCCGAGAGGCCTCCAGGGGATACACAGTTGTCAAAGGCCCGGGACAGACACTTGTTGAATGAGTAAAACAAGAAGCAAAAGGATAAATTAGAAAATTGAAAAGACCTCAGAGTTTCCTCTTCCCTCTTTCCACGGCCTATACTGATGAAGCACTTTCTGGAATGATACGAGCGACCTGGTCACCTGTGCTGTCCGCTGGTATGGGGCCCACCAACCACAAGGCTCTGCAGCACCTGCAGTTGGGCTACTGTGACTATGGAACTGGGTTTTTATTTTTATTTAACTTTAATCAAATTTCAGGAGCCATGTTGGCTGGTCACAACTGTACTGGCCACTGATCGTCCGGAGTAGGGACTGTCTTCACCTTGTTAACTGAACTCCTGTCAAGAGTGTTTCCCTGACTAGGGGCGACTGGGTGGCTTAGTCGGTTAAGCGTCCGACTTTCGCTTAGGTCATGATCTCGCGGTTCGTGGGTTCGAGCCCCGCGTCAGGCTCTGTGCTGACTGCCAGCTCAGAGCCTGGAGGCTGTTTCAGCCTGTGACTCCCTCTCTCTCTACCCTCCCCTGCTCACGCTGTCTCTCTCTCTCTCCTAGAAATAAATAAGACATTAAAAAAAAATTAAAAAAAAAAAAAAAAAAGTGTTTCCCTGACCAAATTCCAGTACGCTAATAAAAGTCCATGATCAATGTTCTGTTTAATAAACCATTACACTTTTTCGCAACTTTCAGCTTCATTTTCCTGAGGAAGGGAAGGGGAGGCCGGTAAACAGCAGACCAAGAAACAGGCTGCAAGTCAGGGTCCGAGTGGCAGGCACTGGCTAGAGGTGTCCTTCCTGCGCCCTTTATTTTGCTCCTCCCTCAGCTACTGCTGGACAGAAATGATCCCTCTTTTGAAGCTGAGGAAACAGAGACCGAGAGCAATTAACTGGCTTGCCCACGAACACAGCTTAGTGAAAGTCGGGTTCAAACCCTTGCCCGACCGCAGACTGAACCCCGAAGCACTGCACCTCAACTGCCAACAGGCCGGGCTGGACGAAAAGTAGGTTAGGGAGCTCCCGGCGGACTGAGGTTATTCAGAGCGTCCTAAGGACTGGACCCGCCAGCTTCCCTGCCAAGAGACGCAGGATGTATCCAGGCAACTTTCCTTGATGGCTGGTGAATGATGCTCAATAAATCAATGGTTCCTTCAACTACGGCGATGATTCCAAGTTGGGGGATACAGCAGGGAACAAAGCAGAGTCCCCGCCCTCATGGGGTTTGTGTTCCAGGAAAGCAATTTAAAAAAAGTAATTAGGGAAGGTCTCTAAAGAGGTGAGAACTGAACAGACATCCAAACAGATCAGCTCAGCTGTGTGGAGACACTGGGAAGGGCTGTTCCAGGCCATGGGGACTGCGGGGACAAAGTCGGAGGCGCGTGTCAGGGATGCACAAACAACAGTGAGGAATTTGTGTGCACGTGAGTGAGAAGACGGGTAGGAACCGGGGCCACACCCTGTGGGAGCAGGTCACTGGAAGGCTCTGGAGTATATTTTAAATCATGGAGAGCCACAGGAGTGGACAGGGGGAGGGGAGAGGGGGCGTGGAGAGGTGTATGGAGGAGAGTGAAAGAGACGGGATCTGATTTAGGTTTTAAAGGGAACACTGGAAGCCGTAAAAGGAAACTGTGAGTAAGCAAAATCAAGGAGAAAAAGCCGGAAGACCATGTAGGAAGGACTTTTTTGGTGATGAAGCAAGTTTAAATTAGCAGTACAGCTACACATGCAGAGTGGAAACGGAAACTAGTTTCAGGACAGATTTTAGCTAAATGTTCCTGGTCAAACCAATACCCACGGGTCAACGGAGGGAAAAAAGGTTGGCTTCTAAACGAATCACACTGGGAGTAAACTGCACACTCCGTCTCTTCGGGTTCTATTTACTCTTCCGAAGCCCTATTTCCCGCGTGCTCACACACTCGCTCCACCAAACAAAACCATTATCAGGAAGTTCCCATAGGATGCGCTCACAGATAACGCATGTGTAATAGGACAGAGACTTTTGCCATTCGTTGATATTTAAATAGGTATTTCAGAACAAGTGCAGACAGCTCTGACAAATTCTGAGATACAAGCAGCTGCAAACACCACCAGAGGAAAGCCACTTTCCAAGGACACTTGGCCTCCTTTGCACAGACACACCTTCCGGGTAACTGGCTAACTGGACTGGAAGGCTTCACGCAACTCTTCCTGGTGGAAGTTCTGCAACACTGTTTGCCAAAAGCTGGAACCAGAACACACACACACACACACACACACACACACACACACACCCTCGGCGAAACTCCAACACAAAAAAGGTAAAAGAAAAACTGTCAAGTCAGAACCCCATGCCTACCTATGCTTACCTATCTACCCATGATCCCTTGCCAATGTGACCCTGAAAGGACGTTTTGGGTCAGGTGCATGCCTGGCTGGATAGGTGTCTCTCAAGGCTGCCCTAACACATATGTGGAGGTGCCTGCAGGATGACGGATTGTTACACTCAGCCTGACTGCAAAGCAAAACAGGTGCTCAGGTGATAAACCAGCCGCCCTGCCCAGGTTCAGTCCTCCCCAGCCGCTCCTCCCCTTCCCTTCTGGCACAGACGCGCCCCACTTAGGGCCCGCTGCTCTGTCCTGCCCTTCCTCACCGCTCTCACCAAGGGCTGCCCACTGGGCAGCCAGTGCTCACCAACTTCCTGTGATGTATCCAAACACCAGCTTCGTGGGACACCTGAGCCCGCTTCCTGCGCTTTTGACCCCTCCTCTGCCTTCATACAATATTCGTCTCATGTTTCCACATCTAACATGGTGAAGACCAAAAGCAAACCCTGGGTGCCATCCCCAGCCATCCCCACAAGCTTGGCCCCAGTGTCTCTATGAAGTGTAAACGACACACGCAGGCCTCCTTCCGAGGTGGTGCCCAAGTCGAATCCAAAATGAGAAGAGCCTGCAAACTGTCATGTGCCACACGATTTTAACATCCAGGTAAAGATGGATTCAGACAAAGCTTAGCTCAAGGCCGACGGGACGGCTCAGGACCAGGGTCCCGAGGTCACTCAATAAGCATTAAGCCAGAAAAGGGGGTATTTTCCTCCAACAATGAGGCTGAGGGGAGAAGCGGCGGTGTGCAGCAGGGAGCTCCCCATCTCTGGCTCTCTCGCCCCGCACCTGCACCGGCCCGATTCGGGTTTGACAGGGAGGACCCCGACTCCGCTCGGCGCAGGGAGGCAGGGCCGCAGAAGCCCCATCGCCTGCCTGCAGCGCCCTGAAGAGAGAGCGTGAGGAGGAGGGAAGGACCAGAGCACAGGAGACGGGGCGGAGGTCCGCGCGGCGTGACCTTGGCCGGCCCCCCACCACCCCGGGGGCAGCCTCCCGGCCGGCGCACGCACCCCACCGCGGCCGGATGCGGGACGTGCCAGGACAGCAGTTTCGGTTTCCCGAGAAGCTGACGTCCCCGCCGGCGCGGCGGGTCCCCAGGGCCGCCCCCCGAACCCGCCCGGCCCCGGCCCGCTGCCCGCGGGGTCGGGGGCGCCCGAGGGGCGTCGCCTCAGCAGCGGCGCTCAGGACGCCCGCCCGTGGCGCCCACTCAGGCGGGCAGGACGTCCCGCGAGCCCGGCCGCGCCCCCTGCGACCGCGCCCGGCCGGCCTGCACGGGGCCCTGTGGCCCCGGCCTGCCGCGCCGCCGCCGCTCCCCGGCGCGCCTTCCCGCGCTGCCCCCAACACACCCTACCTTCCGCCATGTCGGGCCGGCCCTGCTGCAGTCTCGCGAGAAGTGCGCCGCGCAGGCGGGGCGGTGCGGGCCCGAGGCTGCGGGTCTCGCGAGAGTCCCGGGCGGCGGGCGGAAGGAGGGCGGCGGTCGCGCGGGCGGAAGCCTCCCCTCTCCTCACACCTTCGAGGCGCCGGTGAGCGAGCCGAGCCGCCCACCCTGGCCGCGCCGCCCAGGCAGGGCCCTGGCCGGGATGCACACGGCGACCGGCCCCCGCGCCTCGGAGAAGCCTGGCCGGGCGGCGGCCGAGGGCGGGACTCCGTGGTCGGGCGGCGCGTTGGCGGGGGCAGGAGCCGAGGCGGCGGAACCCGGCCGGGGCCTCCCTGCGGAGCCCAGGCTCGCGCGGACCCGAGTGAACCCCTGGGGCCGAGGACGGGCTGCGGGACGCGGCTCGATGACATCAGCAGGCGGCACGGGGACCCGACAGAGCCGCGGGACCCGGGGGAGCGTCTGCCCCGCGTGCCCGGGGCCTGTGGACGCGCCGCCCTCCGAGCGGACGCCCGACGGGGCGCCGGAGTGCCTCGCGAGGGCCGCGTCGGGCCAGGTGTCGCGGGTCATGAAACCCGGGCCTCCGTCGTGTGGAGGACCCGTGTGGGCCCTGTCGTCGGCGTGGCAGAGGAGCGCCTGTGTTGGGAGGCGCCGGGGCCCACACAGCGCGGGAGCCCAGGGACGCCCAGCTCGGTGTTGGGATGACCGACGGCACAGGAGAGGCCTGCGGGCTAATGTCTGCAAACAGCAGGAGAACCTTGGAAAGAGATCTTCACTCAAAGGAGAGTCGCGTTCTAGAAGCATCAGGACTGCAGGGGCAGTGGTGACCCGGGGCCAAGAGCCACGGGAGAGGCGTGGGTGCCAGAAGGGGCCTGAGAAGAGGCCGAGGAGTCAGAACAGCAGAGGGGGAGCCTGCGAAGGTGGAGACTTGGGTGCTGCCGAGGGCGAGCATCTGGGCAGTAGGACGGCAGCGCGGGAACCTGGAGTTTGCATCCTGGAAACCAGGGCCGCGGGCTCGGTTTTCGAGGACGATGGTGGAGCTCCGGCCGAGGGGGACGGGTGGGTAAGGAAGGGGAAGCGGTTGGCGCAGGGGGATGGTGTCCAGCGGGGGGCAGGCAGGGGAGTACTTGCCAGGCTGCTGGAGCTGCCCTGGCTCAAACCCTCCCAGTTTGTCCGCAGTGGTTTAGAGGTGCCACACGGCCAGCCGCTGGGGTCATGAGTGTGGCCTGCCAGGCCCGTCTGCTTTGGCCACAAGCAGCCGCCTCCGTTTGAGAGTCTCCTACAGATGACCTAACAGAGCTCGGGAAGTCGGCCGTAGCCCACGCGTGCTTTTGCATCAGACCACGTACCTTTGTCCCACCGGCACCAGCCTGGCGTGTGACACGCAGCAGGCGCTCGGTGTGTTTGAGGAGCTGTTCCCGCCGTGAGCTACTCAGTCAAGAGGACGGGCTTCACGTTGGGCTCCGCAGCTCGTGCTGTGTTGAGGACGGCAAGTCCCTGCCAGCTGCCGTCTGAGGCCCTACAGCGGTTTCCACAGGGGGACGGGACATCTGGAGGGTCACGATCCCCCGAGAACACGGTGGAGACCAGAGAGAGCAGCACGCACGCAGGAATAAACAAATCCGTGCCCTTCCAGCTTGCTCGGACTAGATGGCCGCAGTCAAATGAAAACTCCCCTAAGGGGCCTAATCGACCCAAGGGCTTGACTGGCTCGTCATCACGGCCCACCCTGGCCGAGCCCTCTCTCAGAAGTGAGAGCTCTCCTCCTAGGCATGCCTGGAACAGGACCCGATCTCTGACCTGATCTCTGGGCCCTTGTCTTCCAAGGGGATTCCTACTGGCTGGAAACCCCGAAGCTACAGGGAGGCTTTAACAGAGCCTGTGAAACAAAGCATCGAACTAAACTCCGACACCCGACAGGCTTCAGGGCAGCTCACAAGGTCATTTTATTTTTTATTTTTTTATTTTTTTAATTTTTTTTAAATGTTTTTTTTTTTATTTATTTCTAGGAGAGAGAGAGAGAGACAGCGTGAGCAGGGGAGGGTCAGAGAGAGAGGGAGTCACAGACTGAAACAGGCTCCAGGCTCTGAGCTGGCAGTCAGCACAGAGCCCGACGCGGGGCTCGAACCCATGAACCGCGAGATCACGACCTAAGCAAAAGTCGGACGCTCAACCGACTAAGCCACCCAGGCGCCCCTCACAAGGTCATTTTAGACGTGGCTCAGGTTTTGCTCAGATGAAGAGGAACTCAGCGTGGAGCTGTCCGGGACGGGGAACATGGGCTGCATGGAGGGTAAACGCAGACTGTCTATGGCGCAAGAGAACAGGCTCTTCCTGGGGAAGCAGTGCTAGGTACTGGTACAAAGGGGGAGGGAGGAAACCACCAGACTGGTGGTCCAGTGACTTGGGTTCAAGTACCGGCCTCAACATGTGAGCTCCCTGGGGGACCTTGGGAAGAACCGTTGAGGTAGGGGAGCAGCACCTAGTACATAAGCAAGGTCACAGAACTGAATCCTCACTGGGCAACCTACTTGCTCTACGGTCTCAACACATTGCTCTGAACCCGTTTCCTCATGAGAAACCCCTACTCTGGAGAACCTCGTAAGAATACGCCTTACACAAGCCCGCCGTAAAGTGAAGCTCAGTAAATGGGAATATGGTTTCTGGTGCTCCTTGGGAATACGCGCGGTGCTGCAGACACGCAGCACTATTATGCTTCCTCCGAACAGATACGGCCGGGAAGGGGAAAATGTCAAGGATCTTGCCTAGGAGCAGCTCCTAGGTTTAGGCTGTGTCTGGTGCCTTTTGTGAAAGCTTTTTCCTTCTCCTTTGATTTATTCCAGCTGTGTGAACAGGATTCAGAGTTCTTTCAGTCATTTCACTATAGCTCAGTGGGGCATGCAGACAGAAGGAGACAAGGAAAAAAATAAATAAATAAAGCGTTAACCCTACCTTGGCAGTCATGTTACACGCATCTGAAATGGAGCAACCCAAAATAGTTTATCCTGGAAATAATTTGCTCTGCAAACTGGATTCTGTTGGGGCATGTAGTCCTCCAGAAAACTTTTTTATCAGGAAAATTAAATCCTGAAAATGACCGCCAACCTTCCCCAAACTGCTCCCAAGGGGGATTTTCTTCTGGTTTTTAACTCAGCTCTCATTAACAGATCTGGCTTCTTGTTCTTTTCTCAGTTTGCAAGGAAGAGGCCTAGACAGACCCCCGCAGCATTTATCACCACAAACCCTACCTCACACTGTAAATCCATGTAAACTCCACGTGAGGGCGACACTGACACCTTTTTAAGGGGGGGGGGGGGCGGGGGAGTGCTCCATCTTGGGTCTTTCACCACTAAGGTACTAAGTGAGGCCCGTGGTACTTGGGCCACATTTGTCCGTCTGTGTAGAGGAGGGAAGGTGGTGCTTGAGGTGGTGCCCATGGGCTCTTCCAGTCCACCCTCGGGTCTGGGCTCTCCACCTTCTAGCTTATGTGTATGGTAGAGCCGGTTCAGGCTAAAGACAGAGTCCCCCCAAAACATGCTTTTAACACATGCTCGTTTCATCCAAGGCCCTAAGTCAGCAGGTACCTGGCTGGTGGAGGATGGTGCTTGGCCCCGTACTGGAAATGTTAAGCCCATTGTATCGGGTCAGAAATCAACTGCCCACCCTCTGTTTCCTTCTTTACCTGAAGTTTTAAAAGCCCTTTATCAAGATTCCCCTGTGAACCTTTTGGTATCATGTGCTGTTTAGAAAGAATCCCACAACTTGCTTTTGAGACCTGCACCTAAAACCAAAATAGCTCGTGATACAGCCTCTAAGTGATCATTTATTGGTTTACAGAGCATCCGCCACACAATGGAGGTGCTTTACAGTACAGCAAACATCACAACAGAACTCACATAGTTAAATACAATCAACAAATTACAGAACTAAAAAAACCAAAAAACTGGAATGAAGCAACATTATGTCAGATTTCAGAGATGCTGAGAAGTGGCAGTACAAAGAAGGCAATTCCACCAACTAGAGACCAGACGGGCAAATATAGATACACAGGCACCACGACCCCAAATGTGCAGATTTGTAGAGGGTGAGTGAGCACAGGAAATAAAATTTCACAACTGAGAATGAAGGCCAATGAAGATACCATGACACCCAAGTGGTCACAGAACGAGTGGAATACCCTCAGAGAGAGAGAGTGCCTTGTAATGACAAGGGAACCGATCTCGTGTGAATTTTAAACTCACAGAAAGAGGCCAGAAAGCCACCGAGACCATCCATCCCGTTATGAGCAGACTGAAATCTCTAAGCCTTTACAAGAACTTGCAATCAATTTAGGAAACAGCCAACAGTTCTAAAACCCACAAGACTGTGTAGATGTTGTTGACAGCTGGCACAGAGTTAGGGAGAAAAATCCTTTTCCTGGAGCAGAGAGGACTCACCTCACACTGGTGATGAGGCACTGGTGGGACAGAGGCCACCTGGATCAGTGTCACCTGAGAGTGGTTTAATATCAAACATGGAGGCGCTAAGTTCACACTGTCAGATGAACACGGGGAAAGGCACAGGTGACGCCCCTGGCAGAGAAGTGGTCACACCACCTCCCGAGGCCTGTGTGTCCACATGCAACACGCCAGGGCGGTTGGTGGAAAAGAGCAGGAAGGGAGGGGCCCTCGTTCCTGGCTCCCGCTTGGACTCCCCGGGGTCTAGCCCCAAAACACACATGGTCACTCAAGGTACCTGCATTAAAGTGGCACTTAAAGTTCAGTAAGAGTTGTCCCTGAGTTTCTGGGTCATTTGCTGCTCCCTGAAGAGTCAAGTGCCAGGTTTTAACTTGACAGATCACTAGCAGAATCACAGCAACTGGAGAGCAAAGTTCAGACTCCATTCTGCCACAAGCAGCCACCATGTGAGCAGTTTCAGATGTAAGAGTAAGAGGGACCGCACTCAGATGCCAGGAGCGTGTGCACGACCAGCCCTCCGGGGCAACAAGTTTTAGAGTTGGGGG